ACCCCTACTAAAAATAAAGGGAGCCCCGCGCATAGGAGGGCAGTGCGGCGCATACGAGGGCAGCCCCGCACATATGAGGGCAGGTAGGTTTCTGTACTTCCAACCAACACGCTTTTCGTTTCGATTCACAAAGTAACCACTCCCGCCAAGTGCTTTGCAGTTGACCCCAAACGCACATCAGCAGTGGGGTCCCAGTCCTCACTACTGTTGGAATCCCCATTGCTATTGGGGTCCCCACGGCTGGAACTGCTGCTGCTGCTGTCCTCACTGTTGCACCTTGTGCTGCAGGAGTGGCACCTATTGCTGTGGCTGCTGCTTCTATGTCCCTGCCGCACCCCCCGAGTTCGCACCCCGAGGCGCCATACCAGCATCGCCGGTCCCGCCTCCAGAGCCACCTCCTCTAGACGCACAAGTGGACCTCCTTCACCACCTCCACTACCACCACCCTTTCCCCTTTCTTACCTCCCTTGCCCCATTTCTGCCAGACAAACGACGCAGCAGTAGAAAGAGAAGTAATAAAGGTGGAAAGCTCGGGCATAACACACCTCTCAAAGAGCCGGGGAACTACTGCAACAGATGCGAAGGCAACAAAGTGTATGCTAACTTTGATTTCAATAAGAGCGGTCTCAAGGAGAGCTCACTGGGGTGCTTTCGATGAAGCGCGATGAGCGCAGACGACAGACGGCCACGGAGACGAGTGTTAATGAGATAAAGGGTGGCAAGCATGGGTGGGGGGTAGGGGGGGACGAGCAAGCTGGAAGTCAGAGGATGGCGTTAAGAGAGCTCAAGTGCGTAATCAGGTTAGCTGTGGTCTCAAATAAACGGAATGATGAGGTAGCCAAGGGAGGCAGAAGAAGGAGTGGAGTAGCGAGACACAATAGCATCATAAACTCCTTTGTAGACTCGACCTGGGTAATGTGGCCAGACCTAGTCGGTGGGAGAAGGTTTGTCAGCACGAGACATGTAGCGGCATCGCGGGAGTCCCAAAATGAGTAGTCCAAGTGCCGCATAGTAAACGTCACCCACTCCACCTCAATGGGAGGGGGCTCAGCTAGGACACAAATGAGCAAGCAGAGCACCGGACGTGTGGGCGAACAGAGTGTTGTGGACTTGATGCTGGCTCATGAGGTGCTGCTGGGCCTGACTGAGCCACTTGCTAAAGTCTATCTGGGCCATTTGCGTCGAAACGCAATACTCCAGTGGGCACCATGGTGAAAGCTAGCTGGGTGTAGGAACGACGGGCTAGAAAATGCCTGGCGCGAGGAACAGCTACAGCTAGACCGCGGCGAAAGGTGGACAAGGGGGCGTACGTGTCACCATCCACACAGACCGCGGTGTTACCATAAGGCTCAACCCAGACCCCGACGTGCTGTCTCGCCAGGGGGCCCACACCAGTTAGGTTCCTAGAGAACGTAGGAACGTGGAGGCCAGTCAGGGAACCGGAAGGAGCAGCTGGGCACGGGAGTGTAGTGGCGTGAGTCGCAATGACCGGTCCCGAAGAGGGATCGGCCAGTGCTATGGAGACTGGCGCCGGTAGTGGAGAGAGAGTCGTGCGGTCGCGGAAGAAGCACTGCGTCGCTCCTGAGTCCAGTGTGAAGGAGAGAGACGCGTTTGCCGAGGGAGTACCTGTACTAGTAGCTAAACAAGATCCTACACTAGCAACAGGCAAAGATCGTACGCTAGGTACAGGCAAGTACACAGATCCAGGAGCACTATAGTCAACATCAGCATACATGGCATAGGACCTAGCATCATCCATAGTCATATCAAAAGTAGAGATACCACGAGCAAGGAGTGTCCCCCAGCGTGGCGGCGGGGGAGCGGAGGGGCCGTGGTGCAAGAGGTAGAGGTCGTCGAGACGACTGAAGCAGCGTGCAGCAGAGTGGTCAGGGCGGCCACAGTACGAGTCCCTACGTGGACCCGTAAGGATCCAGTACTCACAGGGACCAACGTCGCGGCCGGCCGAGCGAGGTCCCCGACTGGAGGGGGCGCCACTGCGCCCAGTGCTCGGGGGACCCGCAGACCTCCACTGCTGCGGAGGGCCCCACTGCTGAGGCTGCTGCTGTGGCGGGCGCTGCTGCTGGCCCTGTCGCTGCTGCTGCTGTCCCTGCCGCTGCTGCTGTCCAGGCGGTGGCAGCTGCTGCTGCTGCTGGAACCCCTCACCACCAGTGAAAACTCCACCGTCGAGAGGAGGGCCGTCAGGTCCCGAGCCACCCCCACCACCACTCCCACCACCTGCTCCACCGCCACCGCCACTACCCGCACCACCCCCAGTACCCCCGCCGCCCTTCCCGCCCTTCTTACCGGCCTTGCCACGTTTCTGTCCGCCAGAGACAGAAACAGCCACTGTCTCCTCAGAGGCAGAAGACGTGGGGGTACAAGTGAGGCAGTGAAGGTGGGAAGCTGTGGTACCGCACACCCCTCAAAAAGACGAGGAGGAGGCGCGGAAGAGGCAGAGGCAACAGTGAGGAGGTTACTCTCGATTTTTGAGAGAGCAGTCTCAAGAATATCGATGATAAGCTCAGCGGGGTGTGTCAGGAGAAGTGCGTCACGGGCTGTGGCTAGGCAGTCATGGAGGCGAGTGACTAGCCAGTGAATAGTGAGCCACAAGGGGGGTGAGGCAAGGGCAAGCTGGGCCTCAGTGCAAGCGGCTCGAAAGCGAGCGTCAAGGGAGCGAAGGTGGGTAACGAGGTCAGAGACAGTCTCAAAGGAGGCGAGGTCAGGGTAGATAAAGGGTACGAGGAGGCGACTGAGTGATCCAGAGGAGGGAGTGGAGTAGCGAGCAACAATGGCCTTATACAGATCTGCAGCAGACTCGACCTGAGTGAAGTGGACTGCCTCTGTCGGCGGGAGAAGGTCGGTCAGGGCGAGGCAGGCAGCGGCGTCACGAGACTCCCACACGTCGCGAGCGAGGAACTGGCGCTGGTACTCGGCCTCCTGCCCCGGAGTAGGCGGTGGGGTAGTGGGCAGCGGTTTAGGCTGCGGAGGCGCGGTCTGAGTACCACACGCGTGTGCGAACAGGTGCACGCCATCCTGCCGCTGGCTCTTAAGGTGGCGCTACGTCTGCGTAAGCCACATACTAAAGTCAATCGATCTCCCCTTAGGGTCAAAGCGTAGTACTCGGGAGGTCGCCATAGGGGGCGAAAGTGAGAGAACGCGGCTGCCAGCCGCGGGAGGGTGAGACAGTCAGTGGCGTGTGGGCAGGCGCGCAGGCGTGCAGGAGGGCAGACGGCGTGGCATGGGGATAGGCGGGCGGCGCGGCGTGCTGGCTTGCAGGCCGTACGTGGCGCCCTGGCGTGGCGCGCTGGCGTGTGCGCTGGCGGGGCGCGCTGGCGTGGCACGCTAGTGTGCACGCTGGCGTGGCGCGCTGGCGTGCGCGCTGGCGGGGCGCGCTGGCGGGGCGTGCTAGCGTGCGCGCTGGCAGGGCGCACTGGCGGGCGCGCTGGCGGGGCGCGCTGGCGAGCGTGCTGGCGGGGCGTGCTGGCGTGCGCGCTGGCGTGCGCGCTGGCGGGTGCGCTGGCGGGGCGAGCTGGCGGGGCGCACTGGCGTGCGCGCTGGCGGGGCGCGCTGGCGTGCGCGCTGGCGGGCCTGCTGGCTAGGGCGCTGGCGGGCCTGCTGGCTAGGGCACTTAGGGCAGACGGAGGGGGGGGGGGGGGGGGGGGGGGGGGGGGGGGAGCACGTCAAGGCTAGAGGCGGCCTAAGTCTTGGAACGGCGGAGACTAGGTGTGGCCTAGGAATGGCGAACCTACTTCTGATACCATCTCACAAATTGAAAACAGCGGAATGAGTTGGATTGATTGGGTTGGGGTACAAATACCTAACCCTAACTGTTTGTACCCCATATAGCATAACCCACTAGAGGCTATAACATTTGACATTTTGCACCCTGCTGGGCTTTGTGCCTGTCAAACTTCACTTGCTTGCATAGAGATGCTTGTCTTGTACTCTTGTTTTTCTTATATTTGCCATACACTTGCATGTAGACTAGTAGGTTTTTGCTTGTTCTCGGACAGCAGGGTCCTCGCTATCAGACATTTTTGTCTGTTTTTCTGAGATATCAGACGCAAATTTTCTGAGTTATCTGATTTGCCAGAAATTGATTCTTTGGTTCATCTGATTGATAAGAAAGAAAGTTCCGTATTCATCTGATTCATCAGACATGTATTCTACTTCCGTCTGAAACCGAATCATATTACGAGGGGGGATTTCGAGTGTGACACACAGGCATAGCGAATCTACTGTGTCGCGACTGTGAGAATCTGCAGCGTCAGGGGGGGATCTTTCTCTAACAGAGCGAATCTGCTGTGTCACGGGTGATTTTGTTTCACTCGCACAAGGCGAATCTGTTGTGTCGGGGCGGATTTCCCGTGAGAGGGCTAACCTGCCATGTCACGGCGAATTTGTTGTGGCACGGGCAATACGATGCAACTGGTCAAGTTTGAACAAATGGCCTCTACAATACTGAAAGCTAGATTGTACAATATTTCCATTTGATTGGTCAGACAAGAAATTGTCAAATATCTGATACATCAGACACAGAAACGAAAAATTTCTGATGCATCAGACGGGCCCGAAGGGCCCGTCTGACGCATCAGGCGCCCTAAAATCCTAGCGAGGGCCCTGTCGGACAGTGTGGTGACTTCAAGATCCACCTTGAATTGTGTGTTGCTTTCCATAGGACTACCGTTACCTAGATATGGGGGTGTGTCAAACTATATTTGTTTTAGTTTGTATTGTTTAGTCTAGGTGGTGTACATCTTTGTCAGTGCTAGGGTTAAGCTTGCTATATCTACCCTTGTACTTGCTCATTTTAGTCATTCATTCTCTTGTTCAGTTCCTGACAGCAGCAGCAGCAGCAGCAGCAAAGTGCTGTGGTGGCACCAGCAGGTGGCACAGGGTCAATCGCAGCTGCTCGTGCTGCCATGGAGGCGTTGGCGGGAGCAGCAGCAGCGGGAGCAAGTGTTGTGGTGGCAGCAGCAGGTGGCACAGGCGCAGCTGGTCTAGCTGCCATAGAGGCATTGACGAGAGCAGCTGCAGCTGTGGTGGAGGGAGGTGTAGGTGTGGTGGAGGGAGGGGCAGGTGTGGTGGAGGGAGGCGGTGGGGTGGATGTGAGTAAAGTGAGGAGCGCAGTGCGAGACCGGGGGGGAGGCGGCGTTGGGAGAGAGGGAGGTACATGGGGGGAAGCGGGAGCGGCAGTGAGTAGCGGCTGGCCCCAGCCAAGGCCGTACGGCCGGATGACAGGGAGAAGGGCAGATAGCAAGCCATCAGATGCAAGCAACTGTGCAAGGGAGTGGAGTGCGGTAGTGGCAGGTGGCACAGCCTGGGGGAAAGGGAAGCGCGGGGCGTGAGCAGTAAAAGGGGCAGGCACGGGGTGGGGACGGAGAGCAGCTCGGAGGGCTGCTGCCACGATGAGCTCGGGGGCCAGCAGTGGTGCTGCCATGCCCGCTGACAACTGCCCGCCCGCTGCCAACCGCCCTCCGCCTGCTGCTCTCCTGCCTGCCATGGCCGCCCCACTCCCCGCTGCTGCTGCCCCGGCCCGTGATGCCACAACCTTGTCCTGCGCATCCCCGTGATGAGAAGGAGCGGGGATGCCATCACAGGCATGCGCCACCGCACCATCCTGCGCATCCCCGCTCCTCCTTCTCTTCCGCCCTCGCCCACCAGCCATGCCCCCTCCTGCGCTCCTCCCTGCCACCATGCTAACTATCCCCTCCTTCGACTCCCACTCCTCTCTGCTGCTGCCAATTCCTCCACTTGCCTCTACGCTCATGCTCTCACTACCCTCACCCCTCTCCCACACCACCACGCGGGTCCTCTCAAGCCTCCGCCATGCGCGCCGCACGTCTGCTACCCTGTGGGCTGTGAGCTGCGTGGGGAAGGGGGTGGCTGTGGCAAGGGCAGCCCATGCAGACTGCAGCTGTGGGGCGGCCTGGGCGGCAGATGCCACCCGCACGCCGGCCAGCGATGCCAGCAGCGTGCTCACTTGAGGTGGCGGGGTCATGGGGGCATGTGGGCATGGCGGGGTCATGGGGGCATGTGGGCATGGCGGGGACATGGGGGCATGTGTAGGGGCAGCAGCAGAAGCATTCGCAGCGGCATCACCAGCAGTAGCAGCAGTGGCAACAGCAGCAGTGGTGGCACTAGCAGGTGCAGCACTTTGTGCAGCGATGGCTGGAGGGGCAGAAGGAGTGAAAGCATCAGCAGTGGCAGCAGCGTGCGGGCTCGTATGCGAATGGAGGGTGGGCAGGTGAAAATCATTGTCCGTGTCAAAACCATCACCATCATTGTCCGTGTCATCAAAGCAACCCTCGCTGTCACCAATAACGCCACCATCCCCACCATCGCCACCATCACTCTCCATCCCATTCCCAGCCGCCGTACGCCGCCCACCACCACCATCGTGCCGCCCCTCTTCTATCCACTCCTCCTCGCGCACGTCAGTCAGCCGGCGCCCACTCGCCTTGATCTGAGCGCGCCTCTCCCGCTGCTCCTCCACCAGCGCCACCAGGGCTGCCACCTCCTCCTCCTTCACCTCACACCGCTCGTCCAGTATCCCCCTTATCCTCACCCTCACTCCTCCCTGCCCCTCACTCTCCTCCCCCTCCTCTCCCCCCAGCCTGCCCCCTCGCCCCCTCGCCCCACCACCTGCTCTTCCCGCGCCACCAGGGGGGAGGAACCCCCAGCGCTGCATCAACTGCTGTACCCACGCCAGGCTGCATTTGAATCTGCGACCCACCCCCACCAGCGGGGCCAGCCGCCTCGCATACTCCTGCACCGCCCTCACACACTCCTGCTGCTGCGCCGCCCCCGGCCCCCCTCTGCTCCCCACCTCGCCCCCCCCACCGCCCCCTGCAGCTCGCCTGTCCTCCTCCATCCTCGCTATAGCCTTCCTCACTGCGAGCGCAAGAGCCTCCTCCAGGCGGGTCTCAGCAGCGCGCAGTCTGATGGCGCCCGGCCTGCCAGCGCGGGAGAGCTGCGCCAGCTGCCTCCAGTGGTCCTCCCTCAGCAGCACCGCTGGCAGCCACACGTTTGTTAGCCGCATGCCGTACCTGCCATGCCATGCCATGCCACGCCACGCCAAGGGGAGGGGGACCCACAGAGAGGGAAGGTGTGGAGCGTGAAGGGATAGTGAGAAAGGGGTGGATAGAGGGAGGCAAGAGAATGTGGAAGGCACCAGAAGCAGCAATATCAGCGAGAACGGACAGAAGACTCTGGAGAGAAAGCGTTGGGTTGACCAATTACAAGCAGGATGCACGAAAGAGGGGGAAAGGGAGGAGGTGGCGTGGGTGAGGGTGAAAGAGAATCTAGTTGTTGACGCAAGGAGCAAAACGCACCTGGCGCCAACAGCGCGGGCGATGGCCGTGGAGGGGAGGGAGGGGAGAGCGCGGGCGAGGGCGCACATGGCGAGCTTCACAGCGGGCGGCACCACAGTGTGGCGCCACCGCCGCTGCCTGCCGTCCGCCCCCTCCCCTGTGCGCCCGTGCGCCCGACCCGGCGTGCCCCCTGTGGGCTCAGCAGCCCACTGCTCCGCCAGGCGCTGCAGGCGCTCCACCGGGCCCTCCTGCTGCTGCTGCTGCTGCTGCTGCTGCTCTCCCCCTGCTGCCCGCCCACCAAGCCCGGCAGCAGCAGCAGCAGCGGCAGCAGTAGCAGCAGCAGTGGCAGCAGGGCGGTCAGAGTGCAGTGAACAACGCCCCTCTTCCCTCTCCTCGTCTGTCCCTCCACCATCACTGCTCTGATCTTCCGTGGTGTTTCCATCAGTGGTGTTACCATCAGTGGTGTTACCATCAGTGGTGTTTCCATCAGTGGTGTTACCATCAGTGGTGCGACCAGCAATCGACAACTCTCCCCCATCTCCTCTCTCCGTACCTTTCTTCTTCCCGCTCCCACGCTCCACCTGCTTGCCCCAGTTGCTCCCCAGCCCGTGCCTCAGCAGGGCCTTCCTAGCCCAGTGGCGGCTATACCGGAACCCCTCGCCCACGCCCATGTGCGGCCCCACCTGTCTCGCATACTCCACGATATCACCCCACTGCAGGGCCTCTCGCCCGTACCGTGCCTCCATCGCCCGCACCCACGCCGCCACGGCCGCCTGCACCTGGGGGTGGGCGCCGCTGCTGTGGCGGATGAGGGTGGCGCCGTGGGCGGGCAGGGCGAGGTACACGCGGCTCTTCCTCAGAATGCGCCGCACCGCCGCCACGTCCAGCGCCGCCACTCCCGCTGCCTCCACGCCACCCGCCGCAACTTCCCCCGCTGCCAAGCTCGCTGCCCTGCCAGCAGCAGCAGCGGTGGCACAGGTGGGGAGGGTAGTGGTGGGGGTGGCTTGAGGATGGCGGGCGGCGGCATCGAAGGCGTGTTGCACGAGGCGGAGGATGTCTCTGGCCGGCATGTCGGGGCGGGCGGCCCTCAGCATGCAAATGACTCGCTTCAGCCGCAGACTGATTGTTGTCCGGTGCTTGCGCTTCCCACCCGGCGCCCGCTTCTCCCTCACTGCACCACGCTGCCTGTCCGCGTGCCGCCTACCACCATCACCACCATGGGCGTGGCCAGCACTGGCGTCATGGCTGGGGGGGTCCAGGCGGAGCTCCCCTGCTGCTGCCACTGCCGCCTCCACATCAACCTGCATCCCTCGCACTCTCGCTGCTGGTGCTGCAGCTGCAGCCCTCGCTGCTGCCCCTGCTGGTGGCGCCGCCCGTCTGACTCCCTCATCTGCCACGGTGCGTGCTGCAGCATCCGAGTCAGTCCCACCTGCTGCCTGCATGCCTGCACCCGCCTGCTCCCCTGCCACGCCAGCCTCTGCCAGTGCCAGCGCCAGCAGCTCTCGGCTGGGCTGCACCGCCTTCCTCCTCGCGCGCTCCCTTGCTGCGCCTCTTGCTGTGCCTGCCAGCAAATCTGCTCCGCCCTGCCAGCCATCTGCCTCTGTTGCCTCTGCCTGTGACGCCCGGCCCCCATCGCCGTCCTCGCCTGCCCCCCCACCTGCCTGCTCCCTGCCCTGCTGCGCCCGCTCCCCTGACCCGCCCTGGCCCCTCATCCGGCTCAGCTGTCCCTCGGACCCCTCGTCCCTTTCCGCCCCTTCGCCCCTCTCACCCCTCTCCCCACCTTCGCCCCTCCCCTCTCTCTCCCCACTCTCACCCCCTTCCAGGTCGATTACCTCTCTGCCAACCGTCACTGATGTGTCCCGCCTCACCATCCTCATCCCTCGCCTACGCGCACCCCTCCCTCTCTCCCTCCTACCTGCCGTTCCCACTACTCCCCTCCCTCCCCTTCGTGTCCTCCCACCCTCACCCCTTCCATCCTCTTCACCCCCCCCGTCATCCCCCTCCTCCTCCCCCTCCCACTCCCCATCCGCTGCATCATCACCGTGCGTGCGCGCCACCAGGATCTGAGCGCCAAAGATCTCATCTGCCACCTGCACCAGTGATGCCTCTGCACTGCCCGCTGCACCACCACCACCACCACCACCAGCAGCAGCAGCAGCACCAGCAGTGGCAGCACCACCAGCAGCACCAGCAGCACCAGCAGTGGCAGCACCACCAGCAGCACCAGCAGCACCAGCAGTGGCCACAGCAGCAGCAGCAGCAGCAGCAGCAGCACCAGCAGCGGCGGTGGTGGGGCCGTCATTGAAGTAGGCCTCCCTCTCCTCCTCCAGGTCCCGCTTTCTGAACCCCCACCGCTCCTGGAAGCGCCACGCCCACCCGATGCTGTACCTGCGGGGGGGGAAGAGTACGAGAGGATAGATTCACTGGGAGGAGGATAGATTCACTGGGAGGAGGATAGATTCACTGGGAGGAGGATAGATTCACTGGGAGGAGGATAGATTCACTGGGAGGAGGATAGATTCACTGGGAGGAGGATAGATTCACTGGGAGGAGGATAGATTCACTGGGAGGAGGATAGATTCACTGGGAGGAGGATAGATTCACTGGGAGGAGGATAGATTCACTGGGAGGAGGATAGATTCACTGGGAGGAGGATAGATTCACTGGGAGGAGGATAGATTCACTGGGAGGAGGATAGATTCACTGGGAGGAGGATAGATTCACTGGGAGGAGGATAGATTCACTGGGAGGAGGATAGATTCACTGGGAGGAGGATAGATTCACTGGGAGGAGGATAGATTCACTGGGAGGAGGATAGATTCACTGGGAGGAGGATAGATTCACTGGGAGGAGGATAGATTCACTGGGAGGAGGATAGATTCACTGGGAGGAGGATAGATTCACTGGGAGGAGGATAGATTCACTGGGAGGAGGATAGATTCACTGGGAGGAGGATAGATTCACTGGGAGGAGGATAGATTCACTGGGAGGAGGATAGATTCACTGGGAGGAGGATAGATTCACTGGGAGGAGGATAGATTCACTGGGAGGAGGATAGATTCACTGGGAGGAGGATAGATTCACTGGGAGGAGGATAGATTCACTGGGAGGAGGATAGATTCACTGGGAGGAGGATAGATTCACTGGGAGGAGGATAGATTCACTGGGAGGAGGATAGATTCACTGGGAGGAGGATAGATTCACTGGGAGGAGGATAGATTCACTGGGAGGAGGATAGATTCACTGGGAGGAGGATAGATTCACTGGGAGGAGGATAGATTCACTGGGAGGAGGATAGATTCACTGGGAGGAGGATAGATTCACTGGGAGGAGGATAGATTCACTGGGAGGAGGATAGATTCACTGGGAGGAGGATAGATTCACTGGGAGGAGGATAGATTCACTGGGAGGAGGATAGATTCACTGGGAGGAGGATAGATTCACTGGGAGGAGGATAGATTCACTGGGAGGAGGATAGATTCACTGGGAGGAGGATAGATTCACTGGGAGGAGGATAGATTCACTGGGAGGAGGATAGATTCACTGGGAGGAGGATAGATTCACTGGGAGGAGGATAGATTCACTGGGAGGAGGATAGATTCACTGGGAGGAGGATAGATTCACTGGGAGGAGGATAGATTCACTGGGAGGAGGATAGATTCACTGGGAGGAGGATAGATTCACTGGGAGGAGGATAGATTCACTGGGAGGAGGATAGATTCACTGGGAGGAGGATAGATTCACTGGGAGGAGGATAGATTCACTGGGAGGAGGATAGATTCACTGGGAGGAGGATAGATTCACTGGGAGGAGGATAGATTCACTGGGAGGAGGATAGATTCACTGGGAGGAGGATAGATTCACTGGGAGGAGGATAGATTCACTGGGAGGAGGATAGATTCACTGGGAGGAGGATAGATTCACTGGGAGGAGGATAGATTCACTGGGAGGAGGATAGATTCACTGGGAGGAGGATAGATTCACTGGGAGGAGGATAGATTCACTGGGAGGAGGATAGATTCACTGGGAGGAGGATAGATTCACTGGGAGGAGGATAGATTCACTGGGAGGAGGATAGATTCACTGGGAGGAGGATAGATTCACTGGGAGGAGGATAGATTCACTGGGAGGAGGATAGATTCACTGGGAGGAGGATAGATTCACTGGGAGGAGGATAGATTCACTGGGAGGAGGATAGATTCACTGGGAGGAGGATAGATTCACTGGGAGGAGGATAGATTCACTGGGAGGAGGATAGATTCACTGGGAGGAGGATAGATTCACTGGGAGGAGGATAGATTCACTGGGAGGAGGATAGATTCACTGGGAGGAGGATAGATTCACTGGGAGGAGGATAGATTCACTGGGAGGAGGATAGATTCACTGGGAGGAGGATAGATTCACTGGGAGGAGGATAGATTCACTGGGAGGAGGATAGATTCACTGGGAGGAGGATAGATTCACTGGGAGGAGGATAGATTCACTGGGAGGAGGATAGATTCACTGGGAGGAGGATAGATTCACTGGGAGGAGGATAGATTCACTGGGAGGAGGATAGATTCACTGGGAGGAGGATAGATTCACTGGGAGGAGGATAGATTCACTGGGAGGAGGATAGATTCACTGGGAGGAGGATAGATTCACTGGGAGGAGGATAGATTCACTGGGAGGAGGATAGATTCACTGGGAGGAGGATAGATTCACTGGGAGGAGGATAGATTCACTGGGAGGAGGATAGATTCACTGGGAGGAGGATAGATTCACTGGGAGGAGGATAGATTCACTGGGAGGAGGATAGATTCACTGGGAGGAGGATAGATTCACTGGGAGGAGGATAGATTCACTGGGAGGAGGATAGATTCACTGGGAGGAGGATAGATTCACTGGGAGGAGGATAGATTCACTGGGAGGAGGATAGATTCACTGGGAGGAGGATAGATTCACTGGGAGGAGGATAGATTCACTGGGAGGAGGATAGATTCACTGGGAGGAGGATAGATTCACTGGGAGGAGGATAGATTCACTGGGAGGAGGATAGATTCACTGGGAGGAGGATAGATTCACTGGGAGGAGGATAGATTCACTGGGAGGAGGATAGATTCACTGGGAGGAGGATAGATTCACTGGGAGGAGGATAGATTCACTGGGAGGAGGATAGATTCACTGGGAGGAGGATAGATTCACTGGGAGGAGGATAGATTCACTGGGAGGAGGATAGATTCACTGGGAGGAGGATAGATTCACTGGGAGGAGGATAGATTCACTGGGAGGAGGATAGATTCACTGGGAGGAGGATAGATTCACTGGGAGGAGGATAGATTCACTGGGAGGAGGATAGATTCACTGGGAGGAGGATAGATTCACTGGGAGGAGGATAGATTCACTGGGAGGAGGATAGATTCACTGGGAGGAGGATAGATTCACTGGGAGGAGGATAGATTCACTGGGAGGAGGATAGATTCACTGGGAGGAGGATAGATTCACTGGGAGGAGGATAGATTCACTGGGAGGAGGATAGATTCACTGGGAGGAGGATAGATTCACTGGGAGGAGGATAGATTCACTGGGAGGAGGATAGATTCACTGGGAGGAGGATAGATTCACTGGGAGGAGGATAGATTCACTGGGAGGAGGATAGATTCACTGGGAGGAGGATAGATTCACTGGGAGGAGGATAGATTCACTGGGAGGAGGATAGATTCACTGGGAGGAGGATAGATTCACTGGGAGGAGGATAGATTCACTGGGAGGAGGATAGATTCACTGGGAGGAGGATAGATTCACTGGGAGGAGGATAGATTCACTGGGAGGAGGATAGATTCACTGGGAGGAGGATAGATTCACTGGGAGGAGGATAGATTCACTGGGAGGAGGATAGATTCACTGGGAGGAGGATAGATTCACTGGGAGGAGGATAGATTCACTGGGAGGAGGATAGATTCACTGGGAGGAGGATAGATTCACTGGGAGGAGGATAGATTCACTGGGAGGACTTGAGTTGACACGAGAGACGTGGCAGGAAGGGGAGAGGCGAGGAAGGGGAGAGGCGAGGGTCCGACGGCGCAGAGAATGCAGCAAGCAAGCAACGCATGGCACAGAACCCCGGCTGCCCTCCCACCAACCCTAGCAGCACCTGAAGGAGGGCGAGACCCCAAACGAGGGGCCCAGCTGGCGGCCCTTGGCGCAGATGGCCTGCAGCTGCACCTTGGTGGCGCCGGGGCCGCCCTTCATGTCCCGCACCCACGCCACCAGCGCCTCCTCCAGCGCCATGTTCTCAGGGGCACGCACACACTTGCTGCTGCGCTGCGCCAGCAAGGAGCTCCAGTGGGGCGCGTTGTGGAGGATGCCTCGCACGTGCGAGGGGGTGAGGCGCAAGTGCGGGTACTTGGCGCGGCACACATGTATGATGCCCGGCACGGTGATGCCCGGGCGCAGGCTCCGCAGCTCACAGATCTCGCGCTTCACACTCACGTCCACGTGCACGCGCCGCCCGCTCCTGCTCCCTCCCCCGCCTCCCCCGCCGCGCCGCCTGCTGCTACCGCCGCCGCTGCCTGCCCCTTCCTGCTCGCCTGCGCTGTCACCTGCTGCCGCTGCCGCTGCCGCTGCTGCCGCGGGCACATGAGGCCCATCCGTTGTGTGAGGAGCAGCCGCTGCGCTCCGTGGTGCTGCAGCAGGCGGGTGGTGAGGTAGCATCAGATCGATGCCTGCCTCAGCAGCACCGCCTGCTGCCCCCTCGTCAACCGCACCCGTGGAAGCAGCGCCCACAACAGCCGCCCCGCCAGCACCAACTCCTGCACCGCCTGCACCAACTCCTGCACCGCCAGCAGTGGCGACGGTAGTGGTGGCGGCGGTAGAGGCGTGTTGGAGGGCCTCACGAGCAGCCGCGAGGCCAGCAGCATAGCCCAGCTCATAGTCCTCCTCCCCCTCCCCTGCCTCTCCCCCCCACTCCTCCCCTGCCTCTCCCCCCCACTCCTCCCCTGCCTCTCCCCCCCACTCCTCCCATCCCTCTCCTTCCCATTCCTCCTCTGCCGCTCCTCCACCCTCCCCCCCGTACCACTCCCCCCATGCCCCACGCCCCCCACCGTCCGCACCCACACCCACGTCGCTGCGCCCAAGCTCCTCCCCACCGCCACCCACTCCACCGCCACCCACTCCACCGCCACCCACTCCACCGCCACCCACTACACCCCCAAACTGCCCCTCGCCGCCCCCTCCCCCCTGCTGCCGTTGCTGCTCATACTCACGCTGCTGCTGCGGCAGGCGGTGCATTCTCCCATCTGCTGAGCCCACCATCTGCTGCCTTGCATGTGAATCCTCGCCCCCCCGATCCCACCGATCCCACCGATCCCCTTCCTCGTCGCCCTCCAACCCCCACGCCATCGCCACTCTCCTTCCCCTCGCTGCACCTTCGTACTCCTCCCTATCCACACGCCTCTGCTGGCCCCCCACCGCTCCCAATGCCTCTCCACCACTCACCCGCCCATTGAGGTACCCCATTCCCCCACCCACGTCCCACCCCCTGCCAGCGTTCCCTCCTCTCATCCGCGCATCCCCACGCGCATGCGCGCCCGCCCCCATCCATTCCTGCCCGTGCACCACACCTGCGCCTCTCCCTCCACGCGCCACCATCCCCCGCCCGCGACTGCCTTCCGCTTGCCCCGTTCCGACCCCCATTCTCCCCCTTCCCGCGCCCGCGCCCTCGATTGAGCGCACCCTACTCCATCCTGCGCCGCCACCCGAACCCCCCCCCTGCCTCCTCTGCGGCGGGATACGCGCCCCTCTGCGCCTCCCCCTGTCCATCCCTCCGCTGCATTCACTGCTTCCCCTCCTCCGCCCACCGCTCCCACTCCTCCGCCCGTCCCTCCGCCCTCCCACGCTGCCACTGCCGCTCCGCGCACGTTTGCGCCAACCTCCGCGGCCCCCTCCACGCCCCATCCCGTTCCCCCAGCCTCGAGTCCTCCTGCTCCCACGTAGCCGCCCTCCGCGCCTCCCCCAATCGCCCACCAAGCCCCTGCAGTCCCCTCCGCCACCCCGCTCACCGCCTCCCCCCTCGCACTTCCTCTCCTCCCTCTTGCACCTAACTCGCATTTCCCCCTCCGTGCCCCCTTTCCCCCTCGCCTCCTCCCTCTTCCGTCTGGCTCCATCCAGGCAGCGCGCGAGGAGCGCCGCGAACTGACGCGTGGCGTTCAGCCACTGGCTAGGCTACGAAGAGAATGCACGGTCGCATGGCCTCTAAACTCGCCTGGGGCGGCTTTAGACTAACGTGCAAGCTACGCCTGCCGCGCCCGCTGGCCTAGCTGCGCGGTCTCGCGGTGCATTGCGCGTGGTGGTGCGGAGCTGGTGTGCTACGCCTGTGGTCAGAGGGGCGGTATGATAGAGGAAGTCGCGGGTGAGCAGAGGGCGCGCGGTGGGTGAGCTATCTGCGGAGCGGAGGGTACGCGTCAGAAAGAGAGAAATGAATGCGCGAAATTTGAGAGGTGGAATGAGGGCGTGTCATGGTTCATTCATTCCTCGGCCTTGAGCTTTAAACGTATGTGCAATCGGCAGTCCCACTGAGCTCACCGTTAGCTGAGCTCGAGCATTTTGGCGACTGCAAATCCGCTAAGGCCCTGTACGACGCTGTCGTTGCTCGCTACTCCTCGCCTGCCACAGCCGAGCTTAGCCGCCTCATGCTGCCGTACCTGTTCCCTGACCTGTCCACCTTTGCTACAGTCGCCGATCTTATCACCCACCTTCGCACTAGTGATGCCCGCCTTCGTGCCGCCCTTCCCACCGAGTTCTGCGCTAAGAACCCCCCTCCCCTGTACTGGACACTCCACTTCATAGTCACCCGTCTCCCTGACACCCTCAGCTCAGTTCGAGACCACTTCCTTGCTCGCTGTCCCACTGAGCTCACCGTTGCCCTCCTAGAGGAGCAGCTGCTAGCGGCCGAAAAGAGCATAGTAGCTGTCGGTGCTGCTCGTGGCGCTCCTCGCACCCCCATCTTTGAGGGGTGTTCTCCCTCTCCCCTCGCTCCCTCCTACGCTACTGCTGCTGCTGTTGACTTCCTTGGTGCTGAGTCTGTTGGCGCTGCTTCTGCTCCTAGTGGGAGGCGCCGCACCGGCAAGGGCAAGGGGGGCAAGGGTGGCGGGGGTGGCGCTGGGGGGGGCGGCGGTGGGGGAGGTGGGGGGGGAGGCGGTGCTGGAGGGAGCGGTGGCGGGAGTGCTGGTGGGAGTGGGGTCGGCAGCGGAGGCGGGGGCGGCGGAGGGAGCGGTGGCGGTGGTGGCGGCGGCGGCGGTGGCGGCGGCGGCGGCGGCGGTGGCGGCGGCGGTGGTGGCGGTCGGAGCGGAGGTAGTGGTGGCGGTGGAGGTCGGAGTGGAGGCACCGGCTCGGGCCAGAGCTCCCAGCAGCAGCAGCAGCGTCCCCAGACGACCCAGCAGCTTCGTGAGTGGCTTGCTCAGCGTGGGACGTCGGGGGGCAGTGGCCGCTGTTCCTATGTCATTCGCACAGGTGACCGCAAGGGACAGACGTGTGGGAGGTTCCACACCCCGTACCGCTGCTTCTCCCGCCTTGACGACGCTTGGCGTGAGGAGATGGGCGAGGATGTTGAGCGCCCCCGCTGGGCTGAGCTCATGAGGGCTGGTGTTGATATCTTTGCTCTTGACTATGATGCTATTATTGCTGCCATGTATGCATTGACTGTTAGTGCCGAGGGAGACTGTTACTTGTGTGTGCCGCCTGACCCAGGTATAGAGCCCGCTGCCCTGGGTACTAGTGAGTCTGCTCTCTCTGGTATGGTGCCCCCGGTACTTGCTCCCTCCAGTGCTGTCCCGGCTGTTTGCGAGTCTGCTCTCTCAGGTACAGCACCCACAGAGACTGCTCTCTCAGGTACCGCACCGGCTGAGGCCTGTCACACCTTCACCCTTGACTCAGGTGCTTCCCGCTGTTTCTTTCGTGACAGTACTGAGCTCACACCGCTTCCTGCACCGGTTCCAGTCTCCTTGGCTGACCCCTCTGGGGGCCCAGTCCTTGCCCAGTCCACCACTGTGCTCCCTTGTCCGGCGGTTCCGTCTGGCTCGTTGTCGGGTTTCCACCTCCCCTCGTTCTCGACGAACCTGGTGAGCAACGCTGTCATCCAGGATCAGTGGGTTGACACCTTCACCCCAGGAGGACAGCGTGTGGCGATCTGCACGTGCTCCAGGACCGGCCGTCACCTGGCTACGTTTACCCGTCGGCCGGGGTCGAGTCTCTACACACTGACCACTGCGTCTCCTCAGGTCGCTGCTGTCGGTCAGGTGTCCGCGTCAGGTCTAGTGGCCCACGCCTGTGAGTGTCGTTCCCTGTCGCACCAGACCCTTCTCTGGCACCATCGCCTGGGTCACCCCTCCCTACCACGCCTCCGTGGCATGCACCGTCGCCACCTTGTGTCTGGTCTTCCCAGGTCCCTCCCTCCCCTCCCTGCCTCGCCTGCACCGCCTTGCCTTCCTTGCGTCGAGGGGCGGCAGCGCGCCGCTCCTCACTCCTCCTCGTTCCCCCCGACAGAGGCTCCTCTGCAGACCCTCCACCTGGACGTGTGGGGCCCAGCCCGCGTTCGTGGTCAGGGCGGTGAGCGGTACTTTTTGCTGGTTGTCGACGACTACTCGCGTTACACCACGGTCTTCCCCTTGCGCACCAAGGGTGAGGTCCCTGCTGTTCTGATCCCTTGGATCCGCGCAGTTCGTCTCCAGCTCCGCCGCCGTTTCCGGACGGATCTTCCTGTCCTGCGTCTGCACTCTGACAGAGGTGGTGAGTTTTCCTCCGACCTCTTGAGGGCCTTCTGTCAGGAGGAGGGCATCGAGCAGACCTTCACGCTTCCGGACTCCCCACAGCAGAATGGGGTTGCTGAGCGCCGCATTGGCCTGGTCATGGAGGTCGCTCGTACCTCCTTGGTCCACGCGGCGGCTCCCCATTTTCTGTGGCCGTTTGCTGTCCGGTACGCCGCGCATCAGCTCAACCTCTGGCCCCGTGTCTCCTTGCCGGAGACCTCGCCCACACTGCGTTGGACGGGGGAGGTTGGCGATGCGTCGCGCTTCCGGGTGTGGGGTGCTCGTGCCCTTGTCCGCGATACGTCCGCGGACAAGCTCTCCTCCCGCACACTTCCCTGTGTCTTCCTTGGCTTTGTCCCTGACGCGCCGGGCTGGCAGTTTTACCACCCCACCTCGCGCCGGGTCTTCGCCTCTCAGGACGTCACCTTTGACGAGTCGGTCCCTTTTTACCGTCTCTTCCCCTACCGCACTGCCCCCCTCCCTCCCCCGCCGCTTTTCCTTGCTCCTGGTCCCCCTCCGGTAGACCCCCTTCCCCCTCAGGGTCCTGCTCCTTCAGGTGTCTCTCAGGTAGACCCTCCTCCCGTCACTGAGCCTGTCGAGGTCACAGGTGACTCAGGTGCTGCTGCAGGTGGTGCTGCTGGGAGTGCTGAGCCTGGGGGTGCTGAGCCTGCGGGTGCTGGGCCTGGGAGTGCTGGGACTGCGGGTGCTGGAGCTGAGGGTACTGTGCCTGGGAGTTCGGCGCCTGGGGGTGCTGAGCCTGGGGGTGCTACGACTGGGGGTGCTGAGCCTGCGTGTACGGAGTCTGGGGGTGCCGAGCCTGGGGGTGCTGCTACTGAGCCTACGGAGCCTGGGGTTGCTGCGTCTGGGGGTGCTGCGCCTGGGGGTACTGAGCCTGGGGGTGCTGCTGCTGAGCCTACGGAGCCTCGGGTTGCTGCGTCTGGGGGTGCTCCGGTTCGGGGTGCTGAGCAGTCTCTCACACCGCAGCAGCTTCGTGACTGGTACGTCCGGCGCTTTCGCCGTCCTAGTGGCTCGGCTGGAGCTGGGGGTACTGGAGCTGCCGGGACTGGTTGTTCTGGGCGCACTACGACTGGAGCTGCTGGAGCTGGGGACTCTGGAGCTGGCGGTGCTAGCGGAGTTGTAGCTGCCGACTCTGGGGGTGCTCTTCCTCGCGGTGCTGCGGACCCTGGGGGTGGCGCTGTTGCTGGTGCTGCGGACCCACCTGGTGGAGCTGCTGCTGGAGCTGAGGACCCGAGCGGTGGCGCTACTGCTGGTGCTGGGGACCCGGACGCTGGAGTCTCTTCTGCTTCTGGAGGCGCTGCGCGGCCGCGGCCGTACTTCGTACCGCTCCTTCAGCAGGTTCTTGGGCAGGCTCCTCCTCCTTGTCCTCCTCCCTCCGTAGATTGTCCTCCGCCTGTCCAGCCGCAGTCACAGTTACCGCCTGCCTCGCCTCTCCCTGCTCCCTCTCCTTACACTGGTCCCACAGGAGGTCTTACAGAGCGTCGTGAGCCTGAGTCTCGTCCTGCGTCGCCTGTCCGTACTGCTCGCACTGGTCGTCGTGTCCGTCGTGAGCGTCCTCCTGCTGTCCCAGGCACTCGTTACATGACTCTGCGTCCGTCCACTGCTCCTCAGCGTGTCCCTCTGCCGTCTCCTCCTGCGTCCTCTTTGCCTGCTGTTCCGGACCCTGAGTCTGACCGGTATCGTACTGAGCACCCTACTGTCACGCGTCTCCTCGCTACTGTTGTCACTGACCCTACCTTTGAGTCCTCGGCTGCGTCTGCTCTGGTCGCTGAGTTGGTTGACTTTGCTGCTGCCTGTCGTCTAGACTACGCTGCTCGCCTTGTTGCTGAGTCTGAGTCTGCGTCTGTCTGTCCTCCGTCCGTCGGGGGTGAG